TGACCCTGGAGCACAAAACCGGTCATAGGGGTCAATTTTCAGGTTTATACATCATCTGAAAGATGAATAAATAAGGTTTCCATTGATGTGTGGTTTGTTAGGATAGGACAATATTTGGTCGAGATACAACTATTGAAATTCTGGAATCTGAGGGTGCAAAAAAAGTTTTAAAGCTTTAAAGTTGTCCAAATGAAGTTCTTAGCAATGCATATTACTAATCAAAAATTAAGTTTTGATATATTTACAGTAGGAAATTTACAAAATATCTTCATGGAACATGATCTTTACTTAATATCCTAATGATTTTTGGCATAAAAGAAAATTTGATCATTTTGACCCATACAATGTTTTTTTTGGCTATTGCTACAAATATACCCCAGCGACTTCAGACTGCTTTTGTGCTCCAGGGTCACATATCACTGGAAAATCCAGCTGAAACCAGCTTAATGTAGTTTATATAACATCAACTGGTTTTCATTGGAATCTAGATGTGGATGGATATTGAAAATAGCTTAATTAGAATATGGACATTTTTACTGTACCTTTTGATCAAACTGCAAAAAGCGACGTTCTTCCTCGATAATTTTGTTTTGTCTTGTTTTCCAGTGTAAATGTCTAAAGATTCATAAATCAAGATACAAAAGCAAAATTACTTAAGAAGTCTTATTTTCTGAGATATTGATCAAAATAAAGTGAGTTTATGTTTAAAAAAGAACATATGCCAGTGGGCTCAGAAAAATCTACTTAATTTAAAGGGAAAACAAGTTTTCCTATCCCATTGGAAGATAATTGTTTTTGTTTTAAGCATAAACTCACTTAATTTTGATCAGTTTCTCAGAAAGCAAGACTTCTTATCTTCATTTTGCATCTAAAGTAAATGTATCGTCATTGTTTAGACATAATTTTTTTTGCAATGCATGCAACAATTATTCCAATAAATTTAATAATTTCTGCTGCAATTGAAGACCTTTAGGCATTAATCTGTGGAAGGGAGAATTAACACTTTTTAATGACCTTTTAAAACCCGCAGAAACCCTATAGAACATCAGACTGTATATCTCGGTGCATTAAAGGGTTAGTTCACCCAAAAATGAAAATTCTGTCATTAATTACTCACCCTCATGTCGTTCTAAACCCGTAAGACCTCTGTTCATTTTCGGAACACAAATGAAGATATTTTTGATGAATTCTGAGAGCTCTCTGACCCTCCCATAGACCATGTGACATCAGGGGTTCAACTGTAATTTTACGAAGCTACGAGAAAGCTACTTTTGCTACTTTTTGTACGCAAAGAAAACCAAAATAACGAGTTTATTCAACAATTCGTCTCCTCCGCGTCACCCAACGTAAACAGCGTATGCTATTCTGTGTCAGCTGCGTCACGCGGATACGTTGTTTTCGTTCAATTCAAATCGCATGACGCAGTGTTCCGAAAATGAACAGAGGTCTTACGGATTTAAAACGACATGAGGGTGAGTAATTAATGACAGAATTTTCATTTTTGGGTGAACTATCCCTTTAAATTGTATTTCCCTCCCTTTTCTCGCTGCAGGTGTGAAGTTGGCATGACACACTGGGCGCAATGCAATGACACTCCGGTGAAGTTTGCACGCTTCCCTGTAACTGGTCTCGTGGAAGGACGAAGCTATGTGTTTCGAGTGCGTGCGGTGAACAAGGCAGGCATGAGCCATCCATCCCGTGTGTCTGAACCAGTAGACGCTATGGACCCCGCAGACCGCACAAGAAAAGGTACAACCAGATCAAAATTCACACAAAAACAAAACGAAAACAAAGCAAGCAGTACAATATACTTTCTCTCTGTAGGTACCTCTGCTCCTTGGACTGGACAAATCATTGTGACTGAGGAGGAGCCTGTGGGTGAGAAATTTCAAATTAAAATGATCTCTTTCTGTCATTAAAAACATTTAAATATAGGGAATCCTATAGAAGCCACCATAGTTCAGCTAAACATGATTCTTTAAGTCATAATCGAGAGAAAGTTAACAATTATGACTTATTATTCTCATTTTATTGAGAAAATTTCTCATATTGACTTCCTGTATCGTAATAATAAGACACTTTCCATAGATTACGGCTTAGTATCTCATAATAATGAGAAACGTTCTCATAAGGAATTAATATATCATAATAATGAGAAACTGTCTCATAAGGAATTAATATATCTTAATAATGAGAAACTTTCTCATTATAAGGAATTAATATATCATAATAATGAGAAACTTTCTCATAATAAGGAATTAATATATCATAATAATGAGAAACTGTCTCATAATAAGGACTTAGTATCTCATTATAGAGAAAATATCTCATAATAATGACTTTATGTATCATAATAATGAGACAATTTCCCGTAATTATGACTGTCTCATAATAATGATAAACCTTCTTGTATTAGTTAATATGTTTTAATATTTAGATGTCTTTATTATGACTTAACATCTATATTTAATGAGAACTATAAGTTCATGTTATGATATTCAGAAAAGAAATCTCATTATTATGATTTAACATTGCATTATAATGAAAACCTTCATCATATTATGACTTAACAACTCATTATAAGACTTCTTGTAATAATAAGAAACTTTCTCATAATAATGACTTAGTATCTCATAATACTGTGAAACTTCCTCATAATGAGACATTTTATTATAATTATAAGTTACAAAAATAGAAAATAAATCTCATTATGATGACTTAACATTGTATTATGAGAAACTTTCTCATAAAAAAATCTCATTAAATGATGTACATCTCATAATAGTGAAAAACTTAATAATAATAATGACAGTATCTCATAATGAGAAACTTTCTCATAGTGACTGATGAGAAACTAAATCATTATTATGAGAATTTCTCATTGTTATGAGATGTTTAGGCATTATAACAAGAAACTTTTTCATTATAATGAGAACATTTCTCATTTTCCTTTGAGTTTCTCATAACCTGAAAGTTATTATTAAGGTATTATTATGAGAACATCTCTCATTATTATGAGATGTTAAGTCAATGTTACGAGAAAGTTTCTCATTGTTATCATATTTTTTACTCAACTTCAAAACGTAATAATAAGAAACAGGCTTCCACAGGGAATCTCTATAAAATATATATTTTTAAATCCTTATACAGCTTCACAAACATATGGGCAAGTACACTGGTCAGATACTATATCTGCATGTCATTGCCATGTCCATTGTATTCTCTTTCGAAATCCCACAGTTTATTACCTAAAACTGATCAATTAACCTACAGTACAGTACCAATATCATGTGCTGCATTTTGTATTTTATCTTGACTTCATGTAGAGGGAGTGGTTCCCGGCAGACCTTGTGATCTCTCAGTCATTGAGGCCACTAAAAACTATGTGGTGTTGAGCTGGAAGCCTCCAGGCGACAAGGGCCATGAAGGGGTTATGTATTACGTGGAGAAGGTCAGAGTGCAAAACTAATTTAACTTCATAACCAATGCCAGTGGCATTTATATATTTAATAAAGCTTAAGTGTATGTTGAAGACTGTTGTTTGTAATTGGTTTAGTAATAATGTGTGTGTGTGTGTGTGTGTGTGTGTGCAGTGTGTGTCTGGCACAGACAGCTGGCAGCGAGTCAACACTGAAATCCCAGTCAAATCTCCACGTTTTGCTCTTTTTGATCTGGCTGAGGGCAAGTCTTACCGCTTCCGCGTTCGCTGCTGTAACTCAGCCGGTGTTGGCGAACCATCAGAACCGACCGAAGCCACCACAGTTGGGGACAAGCTGGGTATGATATATTCAATGAGAGCCTCTTTACAAAGCAAAAGATCAAGGAAAACTTTGTTTTTATGAGTATGGCTTTAGATATATTATACTGTTATGTTAGGCTCTCTGGAAAACTTACGGTAATTCTGATTGGCGTATCGCACATCCGGGAAACTGAATCCAGCACTACTTTCATGTCCTTCGTTTCTTGTTTCATACAAATGCAACTAGTGCCATCTTGCATCTTAATTATTGTTTTTTATCAAAATGAAATTAGAGGACTTAAGTATTAATACTACTGTAGTGTTGTTGTGTTTGTCTTGTTGCCACACTGAAAACTAAAATAATACGAAAATTATTTCGATATGAAAATAGAACTGTTATTATTATTGTGGAAATCTTTTAGAATATGTGCGATTTTAAAACAATTTCAACTCATATGCATATTTCATGTCCATGTAATTATTTATCTGGTAAGCAGGATGCATGTTCATCTTGTTTGAACCTGTTCGTTCATCTTGGCTAAAATTTATTCGCTATGTACTGTTTGCAGAAGCCTTGAGTTAATTAAAATATTTCAACTCCACTCAATATTTTGTATCCAATTATGTATAAGTATCCCTTACTTCATATGTGGATATTCCATTCACTCCTCATTTACCATTTTTAACCAACGTAATTGCATGCAGGTGAATATTGTTTGAATATAATATAAATTCTATAATAGCGTAATAGAGTAATAGACTATTTTGTCACCTGCCTGCAGATATCCCATCAGCCCCAGGCCGTGTGGTTCCCACCCGCAATACAGACACATCTGTGGTGGTTTCATGGGAAGCTTGGCCGAAACTGGTTGCTGTCTGGGTTGTTTGTAATTAGTTTAGTAATAATGTGTGTGTGTGTGTGTGTGTGTGTGTGCAGTGTGTGTCTGGCACAGACAGCTGGCAGCGAGTCAACACTGAAATCCCAGTCAAATCTCCACGTTTTGCTCTTTTTGATCTGGCTGAGGGCAAGTCTTACCGCTTCCGCGTTCGCTGCTGTAACTCAGCCGGTGTTGGCGAACCATCAGAACCGACCGAAGCCACCACAGTTGGGGACAAGCTGGGTATGATATATTCAATGAGAGCCTCTTTACAAAGCAAAAGATCAAGGAAAACTTTGTTTTTATGAGTATGGCTTTAGATATATTATACTGTTATGTTAGGCTCTCTGGAAAACTTACGGTAATTCTGATTGGCGTATCGCACATCCGGGAAACTGAATCCAGCACTACTTTCATGTCCTTCGTTTCTTGTTTCATACAAATGCAACTAGTGCCATCTTGCATCTTAATTATTGTTTTTTATCAAAATGAAATTAGAGGACTTAAGTATTAATACTACTGTAGTGTTGTTGTGTTTGTCTTGTTGCCACACTGAAAACTAAAATAATACGAAAATTATTTCGATATGAAAATAGAACTGTTATTATTATTGTGGAAATCTTTTAGAATATGTGCGATTTTAAAACAATTTCAACTCATATGCATATTTCATGTCCATGTAATTATTTATCTGGTAAGCAGGATGCATGTTCATCTTGTTTGAACCTGTTCGTTCATCTTGGCTAAAATTTATTCGCTATGTACTGTTTGCAGAAGCCTTGAGTTAATTAAAATATTTCAACTCCACTCAATATTTTGTATCCAATTATGTATAAGTATCCCTTACTTCATATGTGGATATTCCATTCACTCCTCATTTACCATTTTTAACCAACGTAATTGCATGCAGGTGAATATTGTTTGAATATAATATAAATTCTATAATAGCGTAATAGAGTAATAGACTATTTTGTCACCTGCCTGCAGATATCCCATCAGCCCCAGGCCGTGTGGTTCCCACCCGCAATACAGACACATCTGTGGTGGTTTCATGGGAAGCTTCACGTGACGTTAAAGAGCTGGTGGGCTACTACATTGAGAGCAGCATTGCAGGGAGCAACACTTGGGAGCCATGCAACAACAAACCAGTTAAAGGCACAAGGTAGAAAGATACATACAGTGTAATTATAATTAATCAAATCAAGCAAGAGTGCTGGTGTACTTAATATCTCAGCTGTAATGTGGCCTTAGGCACAAGGCAGAGTGATCACAGACTAATCCAAATCCAAAAGTGATATTGCTTTTACACAACATTTCTATAAACAATATTCTATATTCTATAATTATTATAAAGTAACTTATGTTTCAGGCACAAATTGGCCAAGTGGTTTGTAGATTCTTTCTCGTCCAACAAAAATAGTTCCAAAAGTTCCTCGTCAGGAGCGATTTCACCTGAGATAAACATTTTAATGCTTGATTCTGATTGGTTGGCGAGCGTTCTGAGGCGTGCTATTATTTTTCAGGAAACACACGACTAAAGTAGTTCCAGGTCTTGACCGCATTACAATTTTTAATACTTTCTTTCTTTCGCTCTCCACCGTACAAATGCTGTGAAGAATCTTTCTCAGAGTCTTGGAGTTTTGATGCCAGAAGAGATTTTATTTTCTGAGACAATAAAACCATGCACACATACAGTAAAGACATGCTTCGCGTTGTGGCCGCATACCACCTCGAGTGCATTAATTTTCTAATAATTCAACCCTCACATTATTAATTAATCTGGCCATCCAATAAAATTGCCGCTTTTGGTCACGTGCTCAGAGCCACTGCCGTTATATAATGGCGTTCATGAACACTGCAGAGTGAATAGCAGAGAAAGAATGCAGAACAGGCTCTTTTGTCTTTTTACTTGTGTATTTGGTGTTTTTGATAAGAGTACAAAAGTCTGAACAGCAGTTTGAAAGCATGTAAATATTGTTAGCCCTCTTTTCTTTCCCTCTTTTTCTGTGAGAAACAGAAAGTTAACCGGGATATTTCTGCCTATCTATAAGCGACGAGAATGAATTTGCACTTTTGAAAACGACTGCCTGCCATCGGACGGATTTTTGTGACGAATATTTATGTTCGTTAAAGGGTTAGTTCACCAAAAATTTAAAATTAGCCCATAAATTACTTACCCTCAAGTCATCCTAGGTGTATATGACTTTCTTCTTTCAGAAGAATCCAGTCGGAGTTTGACTACAAAACCAGCTCACCCGCTCTCCCACGTACACACCTTCCAGCTCCCTCAACCTTTTGCATGTCTTTCACACTTTCTATGTCATGCCCTTTAACATCCATGAGACTTTCTGTTGAGCGTCATGCTCACTTCTCCTTTATGAAACACGCTTTTAAAGTGCACACCTTTTTCTAATCGAAGCAGTTCTCTCTGGCACAAAAACTCAATGTGTGCAGAAAAACGTACAATAATTTCAACAATACAACACAATATAGCATAAAACAGTATAAATTGTAAAAATAAAAATAAAATCCACAGGGAATTAGACTTCATAACACTACGCAAAGAGGGTCGTTTAGGAGAGAATATTTTTTTTGATTATTGTCTCTGTTTGCTTGTTTGATTGGCTGCAAAGTTGTAATGCAAGATCTAAAAAAAATGTTTTTATATATAATATATAAATATATAATATATATAAATAAATAATAATATATAAAATTAGACATAAACCATAAATATTAGAATTTTAATTGTACTGTTGTTCTGTTAGTTAGTTTTTATAATTTAAATAATAAAATAAAAGTATTATTTGTAGTCATATAT